ATAAAAAGGCTTTCTTAAATGAAATAGTTTACTTTACTGTGCAATGTTTAAATATGTCTTCTGATAATAAACAAACAGGTTAAATAAACAGCGACGTTGTATTCAAGTCTCATAGTCAGTTTAAGTGTAATTATAACTACGTTAAGAACAAAGTCTAGAGCGAGTTCAGTTCCCCCTGCCCAAGCCCAGGACATTAAAAATATGTATATATATTCTGTAGTGATTGAAAACAAGTATGAGTCAATGTCACGTCCCTCGGATGTCAACTCAGAATCTCAGCCGAGAAATGCAAACCCTAAAAAAAGAGGTTGAGTCTACTGTAAGAGATTGAGTCACCAAGAAATATTTAAGTAATGTCTGAGTTAATTCCTGTTGGTTTTAACCAGCCTGAGTCACTAAAAAGAAGCTAGGGTCAACACGAAGTGTGGTTCCCACAAATTTAGATCATGTTGTTAAAGCTCGTCAGAAATGTAGATCAAGGAAACACAGTTGTGAAACAAAACAAAATCTATTTTTACTTTGGTATTAGTAATCATTTTTGTCTATTAACTATTAAAAGAAATACTTTCAAAACTTGGCCTATATCTGGGAGTGTTCAAGTCCCCAAGTGTTTTTTTTTTTAACGTGGACTGAGTTTGAGTTCACATCAAAATGACTCAAATCTTAATTCAAGTCACGAGTCTTGGTCTTAAGTACTACAACATGTCAATGACGTCATCAGATATCATGTGAAAACATTTGGTCTGATGTCTAATGCCTGTATTCTCTCACACATCCCAGTCCTGTTTTCCCAGTCACAAAAAACTGCTGCATGGACTCTTCTCACACGTTTCCTTCTGCATATTCGAGCCAAAAGACAAAGTGACCATGTGCTGTAGTCCAGTTCCACTTTTCAGCGCTGATTCTGCCCACTCTTAGACAAGCAGTCCCTCCTGGCGTAGTGCCGACCAGCAAAACAATGAGAGTCTGTCCCTGATAGTCTCTCAGAGGTCATACAGATAACTTTTGGAAACAAACCACTTCATCAAAAAAAATCCAACCCTGCATGCTTCAAGATTACAAATGTCCCAGTAGATAAGCTGAAGTACTAATGCACTGGAGTGTTGCTCTGAGAGCAGAAAGAGACTGTCAGCTGACCTGAGCATCTGTCGTCTGATAGCAAGTAACTCAAGAAATCACTTTAATGGACTTTCATTTAATGTAGATAATGGAGCTGGTATTTTGTGTCACATTAACCGCCGACAACGTCTGACCTCAAGTTAGCGGTGCTACGACAGTTATGTCCAAAGTCCGGCCCATGGACTAACTGTTGTACTTGAATACGTTTTGTACGGCCCAAAAATGTTTGTTTTACTTGTTTTTGTTGTTTTACTTTTTATCAGGGACCCGAATAATCAGTGTGATTTTGACCCAGTGTATTGTTGTGTAACGCTAATTTTCTATCAATATATTGATATTTTTCAAGTATGTGTATAAGCAATTATTTCTCCTTTTTTGCTTTTTTGGGAGCACATTTCTTTGCGTTTTTATCAACTATCAATACCTGACAGAATAAGTTTTTTTTTTTCATTTCATATATATTTTAATAACAACTTAATCAATGAATAGAACTTAACGTGAACATAAACAACAGAAGTGTAATTTAGTTTGTCTCTATTTATCTGTACAGTACGTCTGCATCTGTCTACTGTATTCACAGACTAGTGCATTTACATTTAACATTTTATGGCTCTTTACATTCTAACGTGTTCTAGTGTAGGTGGGCTACACCATTTGTTGTCGCTAATGTGCGACAGGTCAGTCGTTGCAGTCAGTGTGAGGTCTCTGTTGTCTTCTGTGTGGTTGGCAAAACAAATTTGTTCCAATACGGTCCCCTACTGGATTGAGTGTGTAAACATATATAATGAATATACAGTAGATAATAGGTAAAGCTCAGCAGTACAACATTTGTTCAAACCTGCAGAACAAAACACCGGGATGAACCAAAATGTTTCATCTTGCCTCTGCTGTTGTTCATTCATCTGGTGAACCCATCGCTGTCAGCACTGGGTGAATCCTAATGAGACAGAAATGTGTCATATTTACTGCACAATGAGGGTCACCGGCAAACTTTCTCTGCAAAATGAAACTATTATCTCCAACTAGACACGCACTGGGCCCAATCTAAATAAATAAGACCACACTTATCTGGTGGCCGGCGTGATTACTGTAGCCCACGTCCAAATTGACAGTCTTATCGAGTTAGAGTGATTTCAGCCCAGTGAAGACGGCAGATGAAAGTCAAATGATCTTTAAATAGTGGTAGAAGATGGCTGCTGGATAAGTGGTTCCACAACTGTTTTGATCAATGAAGCGTGCATTCAATATAGTTCCTATTTAGATGTGTGAGATAAACTTAACTGCTCCTCCAAATGATTCATAAATTATATTTCCTTCAGTACAAGATAATGAGTTTGTGGCCCTGTGAATCCTTAACACTGGGATGTGTGGTGCTCCAGGAAACACATTTGAACATATACACAAGAGTAAGTCTGAAGTTCTGAGAGCAATTCTTAAACAGACAGTTATTTTTGAAGAAATGCAATTTCTCAGAATGATTAGTTATTAAAATCCAACACTTGAAATCCAACTTTTTAACTAACCTTCATATACATCTCTATGCCTTCTCCTCCTTGTTTCTTTGTTTTTTATATTTGATTTGTAGGATCAAAGTAGGGCAGTTCTGTTTTGTATAAAAAATAATCATTTCTTGCACAATAGGTATTGTTTCTAAAGCAAAGGAGGAGTAATTGAAAAAAGCCTGTGTGCGTCATTTCAAGAAAATGCTTTCGCCTCATGTTTAAAAGCCTGTGAATTAAATTTCTGTCAGGTGGAAGCTCCAGCTGTGGAAAATGTCAGCTCTGTTTTCCTCTTTACCAGTCGATGCAACGCTTGTTTAATAGTAATTGGAATCTTATCCCCATGTTTGCTCATCATTTTCTCTGCTTCACTATTCTCAACCTAAACTCCATTTAAGTTTTTAATAACATTTTACAATAGCTCCCATCCAGGTAAACACAATCTGATTACATTGATGGAGTGAAAATGTATGTATGATGATGGTTTATTAAATAGTTTTTCATTTAATTTCAGGACGACCTCAAATTGGGCCGCTTTAATTCAGGCAACCAGATGGCAGCTACAGTGGAGGAGTGGTTGGTGGACATGCTTTCCAGAAGATCCCTGCTATGATCCCAACTGATTCTGCTCTGATGGAGGTTTGTGTGCATGAATTTCTAGGGTCTAGAGTCTAGGCCGTGGGCGTCCATACTTCTTTGACTGGGGAGGTACTATTCAGATCACCAGGCTGATGTGAAAGTTCACAATGAATGTCCAGACTTTACCTCATCTCCATCTTACGACTGTTGGGATTAGCTTTAGCTTTGCTAGTGACCCTGCAAAAGACCAAGTGGATTATGTGGACCGTTAATTTTTGAAGTTGATGGTGGGTTTTTTTTTGTTTGTTTTTATAAAAAACTATATAGAAATGTCCAATGCAAACCTAGCCTAGCCTCTCAATTCTCCAACACAGATACATAAACTTTTCTGACTCTGAATCTGAATTGGCTGGAAAGTTACAGCTTCATAGTCACAGACACAGAAGCACATGACCTATGACCTACCTATGTTATTACATCTGTCATTAAGGTTATTAGTACTACTTAAAAAATTAACATCTTGATCGTGTTGGAAACACAGTATAAATGATGTAAAGTTAAAAACAAAGGCCATGTAAAGGCTGACCTGAGCTTAACCCTGGCCAAGACTTCTGGAATAAATCAGATTATTAAATGACCTCTGCTTTCCACAGTGAAACAATAGGTAAAATATTAATGAATACAATGGCTGATACACATTTTCCATTGCTTTGTTTTGTTCCATTTTTGTTTTATGTTTTTTTTTTCTTTTATCAGCTTCTCCCAGTAATAAAAATAACCTCGGTCAAATATCTGAATTACTTAGTGCAACCTCAGATTCTTCCTAAAAAGTTAAGTGCAAACACTGAAGGCCAGAGGACAGTGAGCAAGTTGAAACTATTCTGTGATAGTTTTGGATTTCCTACTCTCTGTAAGCCTCATTGTGTTCTAGGCTCTGCTCCGTTGCCAGCTGCTTTCCAAATGAGGTTATAGTGTTTCCATATCAACTGTAAATTTCAATAATTTGTTGGAGGGGCCTCTCACTGTCAGTTTTTATCATATTATCAATGACGACTCAATTTTCCTTTGCTACTCCGACTCAAGCACCAGCCCACCCTCCCTATTACAGTCCTGTAATGAAGTGCAATGGAGTGGTAATTGGTCCACATTATACCAGATCAGGTAACATTAGACTTATTTTCTTATCACAATGAGACCTGCTGGTGACTCTCAATGAGAAACCAAACACAGTTCCTTTCTTATGCAGGCTATCGTCCAAATAACATTTCAGCCACAGACCATTTCCCCATTTCAGTTTTCCATTTCAAGATTACACTCAAGGTCCTTTGGTTTGTCCTTTTTTTTCCAGGTTTCCTCCTCTTTGAATTCACTGAACGGCCCCAGAAGCAACACAGATATACGGTGGAGCTTTCCTGAGATGAGGACGTACAGTAAAAGAGAAGGTAACATGAGCGCCAGGTCTGTGATATTACAGTGAATGTACACAACCTGCCCTCTGACCTGCAGCACTCGCTGCTCCCTCACTCCACTTCTGATTTTTCCATCTTATTCTATCTTAATGGAATTACAGGATATTCAGAATGAACTGCCATGACCTTTTATGAGCTCATCAAATTGTTTCAAAATGCTGCTATTATTTAAAATATGTTGGCATTTTGTCAGTTCCTAAAAATACACGTAGTGGAAACGTGCAGTAAATGACAGTAAATGGGGAAACATTATGTGGGCAAATGTAGTTCCTGATAACAATGCATATGTGTCTGAGCTGCAGGAAATTCCGTGTCATCCGTGTCTATGGGTTAATTCCCTTTCACAATAACTGTCCCCCGGTCACTGATGTTAGACCATTACTCACAGTGTACTGTTTGTATGTTGAGGAATGAGCTAAACACCAAAGTATATTGTAACACAGAGCATGCAGGAATTTCCTATTGAAAAAGTGAATGTAATGCAAAATATAAAATACATAAGCTTCAGACCTGTTCTAATGAGGAGACATAAGGAACTGTAAAGTATTAATCTCCAACTAACAACTCGCAGATCAACATTTAAGATCACTTAAAGGAGGAATTTAATAAAACGTGGTTTATGTCAGCGGCATTTCAGATAAGAGAGGCAGCTTTTATTTTTGATGAGTTAAGCAATGAGTTTGAATAACAGTTGTCAGATATACTTTTTTTAGTAAGAGATTAATTAATTAGTTTATATATATATATATTTATATATATACACATATGTATATACCATTGCATTTTGCATGATCTAATTCTCAAGAATGAACAGGTTTTAGTTAACAATATTTAAATGCAACGATAATTCACAATATCAAATCTCTTCTTCAGTACATTAAAGGGTCACACAATATATTAAACATTTTATATAAAGCACATTTGTATATGCATTTATGGATTGTCTGCATTTTAACATCAGCTTCTATCTAACTATTGGAGCAGACTTGTTTATGTTTTATTTAGAAAAAAAAAGGAAAAATAAACCTAATTGATGTTGAACTGTTTAAGGGCGTGACGTTGTACAGTTTCCACTAAATAGGCCAAACATTGACAAGTGGTGTGTCATGTGGTACAACATAACAAGAGTCTGTCCAGGTACAATATTTATATAAATGATAGTTTGCTGGAATATTTCTGTCTCCGATGCCAGTGCAGTGAGTCTCACACAGCTGCTGGTCTATATGTGAACCTTAATGTCAGGTCTGTGCTGTGCACTGACGCACGCTCTTGGGCACAGTCGCTCCGTGTGCTGCAAACACACAGGGCCATAAAAAGACAGGATATTGGATAACAAGGTTAAAATAGGACCGAAACTATTCTGTTATTAAACTCAGGCCACAGGGATTTGATTTGAGCCACCTTAAAGACAGTGGTTTCAAGGGATTCCAAACAAAAGGTAACGGGCCGGTCATGCTTGTGGTAGCTAATGGCAGAGTTAGGAGAAATTAGGAGATTCTTTTTCTGCAGGAAATTGTACTTAAAGACAGGTCATGGATCACCCTGCTCCTCAGAAGTCTGAGGTTGAACTTTTGCGGCGGCCATTAAAGGTTCTGGCTGTAGTGAGAGGTCAAAGCAGAAACAAAACTAATTCAGCTTTATAGAAAAAGCAAAGCAGTGCAAATTGATTTGGGGGCTGAAAATTTGTGGTTAGACAAACGAGGAAATGCTTTCCTAGGACCTGAAAAGCAAAGACAAGACAAAACCTTGTAGAGTAGACCCAAATCCCGAGGGAAAGGTTTTGAAATATGAGGCCCAGAGGAAAGCTTCTGGCTGCAGCTGAAAGTTAGATTTTTCTGCCACAGATGTTTTGTGGGTTGATTTTGTTGATTGCAGTGTGTTAGAGAAAAAAAATGGTATATATAAAATACCACAGAGGAAGAGACAATGGAAGAGGTGTTATCTGGGTGAAAAGTTCTCATCAGTGCATTTCTAATGCTGCTCTTCTGGTTTTTAATATTCTTCTGCCCATGCTTTTGTTCATTGGTTTATTTTAACAAGGCCCAAAAAATATTATTAATAAACATTGTAGAAATGTTATTTAAGTTTGTCAAGATGAAGTTGCAACGTATCTCTGATTTAGGAACATTAAATAAATACTTTAGTAAGTGTACCGAAATATTCATTTTGCGTTTTATAAATAGCACGTATCTTCAAGTTTTAGTCTGTAGAAAAGGGTTTTATTTCGATATGTATATGAGGATTTGCTGCCCTCTTGTGGACATTAAAATGTGTCTCATATCTCTGAGCCATTGGAATAGTGTTATTGTGGGTAAACTTGTTGAGCCTTTTGCAGTGGGCCCATGAGGTGAAAGGGTATTTTGATGTTAATATTTAGAAGGAATAGAGTAAAATTAGCGTTAGTTAAGAGTGAAAGTATCTGTATATTTGTAAAGGTTAAGGTTTATGTAAAGTGGAAGGTGTGCATTATGTCTAGTGCTCAAGTATTCAGTCAACCTAAAAACCTAAAAGTTTTTCTGACTGGCTTTTTTTCCCCCCTCCACTGTTAAACATTGCCAGACAGAAACCACCTACCACCTGTCTACACAATAAGTGTGAAACAAGGAAGCCAAATGTAGTGTGTCTAATAACATTCACATACCTGACTAAGTGAAAGTACCCACTTCTGAGTACAACAACAGAAAACTCTACTTTTAGTTGTGTGTGGGTGAATGTACTTCAAAGTCAGTTTGATCTTGCACCGTAAGCTTAGACTTATTTCAATGGATGTGTACCATTGTGTTTTGAATTTTTTAAAAAATCCAATCCAAAAATACATGAAGATGTACAAAAATAACACCTGCCTCAGTTTACAACCCACTCAATCAAGTCAAACATAAGTCAACTTGCCATATATTATTTTCACAGATATTTTATAAGTAAGTAATTATATAAGTATATAAGTGTACTTGCAAAACCCAAATATTTTTATGTGTGCATCAACTGACACTGAAAGAACTCGTCTTATATGTGTCTATGCATTGACTGGAGATAATGTATTTAGAGTGAATTGTTCTCTACAGCAGAGGTCTTTATCACAGACTCACAGATATAAATATATACTGTATATATGTGTACTTGTATTTATAGTGTGTGTACAGGAGGGCTGGAGGGGGTAGGGAAGGAAGTTTTTTGTCTCTAAAAGATCAGCAGGTTTAGCGTTAACCCAGTTATCAGAACATCAGCATCGGTCTTTCGGCATTATGGATGTTGTAATCTTGACTCATTCAAATGTAGTCACTCAGTTCCACACTAACTTTGAAATAACTGTTTAAGGAAGTGGAAAAAGGAGAAACATCTGAAACAAACAACCCACAAACCTGTGTTTGCACATATGCATTGTTGCTGAGTTTTCCTTTGCTGTATGAACTGCAGGTTTACATTTTCTACTTGAACCTTTTCAATTTTCTATCCAGAAATGTGTGTGTGTGTATGTCTGTGTGTGTCTGTGTGGTGTTTTGACACAACACCAGTGCAGTTTCTCGCTGCTTCAACAGTTTCAGGAAGTGGGGCAGTGTCAGAAAAAATCAGGAAATTAAGTGTTGTTATAAATACCCCCGAGTGAAAGAGGAGGTCTGGGCTCACACAGTCACAGTTAAAGAGAGGAGAGCAGAGAAAGTAGCAGAGGACAGTGGACTGAAGATGCTCCTGTGGGATGATTAAGGACACATGTGAGGGTTCATACCATAATGGAGGAATTCGCTGAATCAGGTGAATTAGAGTTTTCTTCTTTGCTTTGTTTAAATGTGAGGTCACTTTTAGGTTCCATGTCCAGAACTGTTCTTTCTCTTCAAACTAGGACAAAACTGTTTGGTTGACGTATGTGAACGATATATTCTAATATTCTGAAATACTTAGGACTTAATACTTAGAAGTACTTCTTTTACTTAATCATAGGCTGTGATGTATATGAATTTCACAGAAAACCCATGTCTATATGTAAAGAGGAAGTAAGAAACGAACTTTCCTGTAAAGCTATTATGGGTTTGAGCTAATGTGAAAAATGTACAAATGTGAATGATCAGTGGTAGCAGTCCATTAATGAATAGATGGCAGGATCCTCTGCCCTGCTGTCAGTGGGGACTTTGATGAAGGTGAGCACTGGTGTTGGGTTTGGTTTCCAGTGAGCGTGTGCGTAGGTGAACTTGACCTGATTAAACACTGTAATGAGTCAAACAAAATTACTATGACCACTGTTGACTCTGTGCCATGTTTGCACAGAGACCTGTTGACTATGCGCTGGGATAGCAAACAATTTGGACATTCTGGAACCACGTTCACCTTCACATTCTATCTCTGTGGTGGATCCATACCAGAACAAACAGGAAAATCCAACTCCTAATCTGTCACCAGTGTTATTAATGTAATATTTGTGCTGATCACAAAATTCAGCTGCAGTAATGGGGCTGAATCAGTGAGGCCTAGGAGTAAACAATTTCAATCTTTTTTTGCTTTTTTTAGTCTTGAGCTGTAGCCAAAGCTACATAGTCCATCATGTAGCAGGATAAATTGACTGACTGCTGTAGCACTAAAAAACAGAGAGGATTGTGGAAAAACTCAGGTTCTGTTGTTGATGTTAATGTAAAATAAAATAGCTAATAGTTATTAGTAAAGTTTTGTATTGACAACTGACTACTATATGAGAATGAGTTTGACACCCCTGTTGACTAGAATCTAGTTAGTTAGTTAGATAGATTAGTTAACGTACAGTACAGTACGTGTGTTACACCTGGGCCTTGTTCTGAGGATGTAACACCGACCACATATCCACCCACAAACTTTCTGTCCTGAAACTGTACATCAAAAAACATTTCATATCCTGAAACTTCAGTCAAGTTTCTCTTTTACTTTTGCAGGGTTCTTGTGTCACATGTCACGTCTAACACTTGTACACTGTCCATTGAAGGTTTCCACAAAGACTGCCCTCAATGTCCACCCTCAACTGTACACTTTGTTACCATTTGTGTTCTGTTTGTTTTCTCCTCAGACACGAACCCCTCAGCCCATGAACTGGTTATTCTACACACATCCGAGGCGCAGGAATGGGCCACTTATTTGCAACACACCTTAAAGTCTTCCAAGAAATTTCGAAAGTTTTCTATTTTGCCCTTCGCAGTGGACTCCACCGATCAGCTCCATGGATATAGCTTTGAACACTTCCAAAGCTGCAAGTGCATCGTGCTGCTGCTTTCAGGGGCTTTCCTGGACTTTCTCTATCAGTCTGAGCTGCAGGGGGCGCTTCAAGGACTCCTCTATCCGCCACACAGAGTGGTGGTGCTGCTGTGTGGTGTCACAGAAAATGACATATCCACAGTAGGATTCCAAGACTGGCAGAGCTGGAGAAAAGTCTTCGCTGAGGATGAGCCAGCTGTTTACGTCAGCACCATTTTGGATTCTATAGCTGACGGTATGGAAAATAAATTAAATCATTCTTATCATCATATAATGTTTATTATCAATCCTAACAAAAAGTGATAGCCCTTTGTAAAAATCTAACTAAAGTTTTAAATCACGTCTTATTTTTCAGGCAAAAATAATTTGGTATTTTCTCCCAGGAACTCATTTCCATTCATTTAAGGCTCCAGCTGTTTCAGGAGTGAGCCAGACGATTCATGAATCCACTGACTCAGACAGGGTTTTTTCAAAAGCCAAAGAATTTCAGTGGAGTAATTCTGTGGTTTACCCTCACCAACAGGGCCAGATTTTATCACTCATTTTTCGGGTGCTGATTTCAGTGAGAAATGTTAATGTATCATTATTTATCATCACATTTCACAGGTAAAAAGTCTTACGTAGACAAAAAACAAGCCACAATGTGTAGGTTGGCGTCTGCTAAAGGTCCAAAGGTCATGCACATTCAACAGGATTTTCTGCCCTTGAACACAATGCACAGAAATGTTTCCTGATTTTTGTTTTTTACAATTATTAAACGTGGTCATGTTTAAAAGGGAGGATTTGCCAAGAAAAAAAATGTTTTAAATCTAAAGAGAATTTGCCAGGAGTCAGCAACATTGTTGAAAATTACAAAAAATGTTTTACAAATTATTTGTTCGCAAATGTTTTGTTACTGTATTGTTTTATTGCTAAAGGTGCAGGGGGTGTGGGAGACAATCCCAGCCGTCATTAGACATTGGAAGGGCACAACTGTGGACAATTCACTGGAGTGTCCCTAAAATATATAAATGATGATTGACGGGGTTTTTCTTTTTTGTCCATAGGCAAACAAGTAGAGGCCAAACATAAAGAAAACATAAACGCACCACAGCAGCACACGGCAGAACCAGCAGCATCAGAACGTGTGCACACTGATGTCACAGACAGTGTTGTGTCAGTGGTGCAACATCAAACCGCCGTGAGTCAAGAAGAGCCTGAGGATCAGGTGAATCCACAAACTGAGGAACTCAGAAGTGCTTCGTCTCAACTCAGCTGCCTCACTGTTCAACCAAACAGAGTTCTCTGTGGAGTAAGGCTGGTATACAGTCACTGCAGTAAACAGCTTCTTTTTTAAATGTTGTTTTAATACTTGATTCTGTTTTTTTGTTGAAGGATACAGAAACACTCTACATCATTCTAACAGAAAAATTAGACGATCAGTCGACCCCTGAGTTGGAGTTTTCATCTGAGAGCGGAGAAACAACACGGGTCCCAGCGGCTGTGGAGAATCAATACACTTTAAGTGTTGCTGCACCAGGTCAGAGATGTAGTTGTACTTCAGGGCTGGTACTGTTTTACTGAGTTTTCAAACGTCCTGTAGCAGAAGTCATTGAGAAATGCCCTGATTATAAATAACGAACAGAGCCAGGTCTCATGTTGTGTTGTTGTGTCCTCCGTCAGACATGCCTGAAGGTGAGGTTTCACTCACCATGCACACTGACCATGTCTGTGTCCACCTGGGGTCAGTTACATACTACACCAGAATGAGTGAAGTCAGTCGGTGTCTTGGTTGCGCCTCTGATCCCGTTGACTTCCTCTGCCAGGTGAGACATTATGTCACATAAGTTGAAGTGTTAGATTGTTGTTCAGATTACTCACCGCATGTGTTTTAATTCCAGGCTTTTAACTTCACAAACAACGCCACCGAGTTAGTGGACGACATGTTGACAGACTCGTTAAATTCCAGGATGCCTCCAAATAGTTTTCAGGTCTTTGGAAACAGACAGATTGAAAAAGACAACATGGCAGCATGTCAGTACACAGACGTACCTTTATTTATCTGTCCATTCATCTGTACTACAGTACATGTAGTTTTTACTCTGTGGGTTTTGAATTGTTTTACCTATTGATTTCTGTGCAGATCAGCGTGACCTGGAGCTTCCCACGCTGCTTCACTTTGCAGCCAGGTATGGTCTGAAGAAGATGATGACCACCCTCCTCCAGTGTCCTGGAGCTATGCAGGCGTACAGTGTGATGAATAAACACGGCGACTACCCAAACACCCTGGCAGAAAAAAGTGGATTCCCTAATCTCAGAGATTTCATGGACAAATTTGTTGTAAGTTGAGTCAAAAGGTGCTGTGGTTTTATTTGTTTTATGCATTTCAGACAGTGTGTCTGAAATGGGCCTGTTTTGCTCCAGTCAGTATGAGGCAGGGTAGGTTTCTCTATTTTAATTTGAAATAGATTTTGGTCAAGTTGACAAATTCTGAGCTGCATTTCTGATAATTTTGTAAACATGTGGAAGCTTTTAAATGGCTAACCTGTGAGCCTAGAACACATTTTGGCAAAACATGCTCTATATCAGCGGTTCTCAAACTGTGGTACGTGTACCGTCAGTGGTACGTGAGCGCTCTCTAGTGGTACACAGGGGAAATTCATATTTTCACGTTTACATTTTCAATTGAATAAATCTGAAACATACCATGCACAATTAATACAACATTTAAACATAAACATCTTTCTAAACATTTCAAAACTTCTCTCCTGTGGTGGAAGCTAACAGTGAAGGCCTCTGCTGCTAGATTCTAATGTTGGTCATCGTGGTGGTGCTCAGAGAGCTCAATGTTTTCTCAGGTGGTACAGAGTAAAAAACGTTTGACAACCACTGCTCTATATGATAAAAGACATGGAGATGAATTGGTACCAAAGGCCAAACTTTATATTTACACTCATGTTTGCAGTAAGGGTTTGCTGTTGTTTGGGAATCCTGCCTGTCCTACAGTCAAATCTTGATTCACCATTCAGCCATACTCCCATCACTATGTAGACTATGTCCATAGCAACCGGTTTTAAATTGCCAGAAGTGGTTTTTGTAAGACAAGAGGAACACAAGATAAGGGTTTGGTCTTGTAACACATCTCTTTGTATGTAGGAGACAGCCGACATGATGCAGCAGAGCATGAACACAGAAACGGATGTAGAGGTGTACGAACCAATGTCAGCTCCATCTCAAGATGTGATGATAACAGAGGACATCTATGAGTCCATGCTGGAGCTTAATCCTGAATATGCAGATGACCTGTGTAAGATCTATCTATCTATCTATCTATCTTTTCCATCTTTTCTTCTATTTTTTTTTTAACCAAACCATTAACAATGTCAGTGTTGCCTTTCCATCAGATGAGGTAATGAATGCAGTTGATGAAAATCCTGAAGAAGCTCTACTGAGGACCTTTTTTCAATGTAAACATTTGAATATTTTTATGAACAGTAAGACTTCATGGAGATATATTGTTATGGTGACGTTATTATGGGTTTTATCCCGACAGCCAAACTTGAACACAATGACATTGAAGACCAGTGCGAGCCGCCAAGAAATGAAGAGGAGGAAAAGGGTGAGCAACAAGAAAAGGAGCAGGACGATCCTTACAACTTCTTCCCAGAGGACATCTATGATAGTGTGGATCAAAGCATCACATATAACCAGGTGGTACAGAACCGACCACCAGCACCCATCCCTCGGCCGCAGTCTGAGTGTGAAAGAAGTGAAACCTACATCTCCAGAGGTATCATTCATTTTTGTTTCATTTTTACATATATTATGATTACTAAACTGGAAACTTCATGTTTTTTCAGTGTTTTCACCCCAACGCGACAGTATGGAAATAAAAAATATTGCAGGTAAATATGCAGTACCACCAACACTATTACATGCTTTATTAGATTTTTTCTTTTATTTTTAATATTGAGAAACACTTTTGCACTTTCTCAAAAAAATGAAAACTCATAATTCAAACTACACAGACAGACAGCTTGATACCAACGTACCATGTGACTTGACAACCCCCCTTATCCTACCATTGGATAAGGACGTGATCACCTTCTTAGTTTTACTATAACGACTTTTTTCAGATAAAAAAAATCAGAAATTTTCAGCGGTCAGTCAGAACTGAAGCAGCCTTCAGGATGAAGATGTGAAACCAAAACAGTACAGTTGCTTTTATACTTAACTGATTTGCATAAAGTGAACTGAATGACTGAGATCCTACACAGACACAACTGACTTGAAGACAGTTATTGGTTTCTGTCTTTGTATTGTCTAACCTGAAACCTTCCGTTCCAATGCAGTTCGACCTTTCTCTCTTGCCCCGACTTCTACCTATGACCCCTACTCTGGGATGAAGACCCCAGGACAGAGGCAGCTCATCTCTCTCCAGGAGAGGGTGAAAGTGGGGGAAATCACTGTGAACGAGGCCGTGCAGGAGTTCAAAGCCTGGTCACTTGACCACGAACGGAGGGCACAGTCCATACGCTATCAGCAGGTAGGTCGACTGGGGCTGCGTCTGGAAATACTCATGTTGGAGACGGCGTTGAAAGAATAGATCTGAAGTGTTGTGTGTGTGTGTGTGTGCTGTGTTTCCAAAACAGGAAAATCTGAAGAGATTAAGAGACAGCATCACCAGGCGCCACAAGGAGAGAGACAAGACGGGAAAGGAGTTTGGTAGGATACGTTGACGTTTAATCCCCTGTGTTCTAACATGGAGTAGAGATCAATGTGTGAATGTAAAAATTCACTCACAGTCGAGTGATGAGAGAAAATAGACCAGACCATGATACAAAAACACACGTTTTGTTTCCCCATTCTCAGATTTGGAGATTAGCGCTCCGATTCAGAGGAACTCATTCTGGGGCATGAATACAACCACGGAGTGTGCAGTGTACGATCCGTCGCCCAGGCAGGTGGCTCCGCCCCCTCCTGCCACTAACACTATCCAGAGAGGAAGCTGGAAGACAGGAAGCACCTCCAGCACATCCAGTAAGTTTTGAGAGATGATTTCTCTTTGAAGTGCTGTACATTTAAATTGAAAATCTTCTTTCGTTGCCAACTAGCAAGTTAGTATTTAGAAAATACTTTTGTCCGTTCGATTAGCTCCAAGAAATTAACTGTGATTGTGAAAAGTAAAACAGCAAGATCTTATAGATAGACATGTTTGGTTTAAAATATGTTTTTAACTACATTTTGACATATGAAACAGCGAATCTAAAGTCATTCTGAGACTTTCAGTTACTGTGTAAACCGGAGGTAGGTTTACTTTCAAATGTTGCTTCAACAGGTTTTAATTTTAGGTCAGTCAAAATACTGATGTTTACTCTATTTGTTCATCTTTGCTGAAAAAAAAAGGTAAAATAAAACATTAAACAGCTCAACGTTTTATGTAAAAAGCTGTTGAAAAAACTGTGAGAGACGGGGAAATTAGATACAATCATGAAAGTAAAAGTAACAATGACTGACCCTGGGTCGTGACATTTCTCATGTCTTGTTCCCGGCCTTGTCATCAGTGCATTGTCATTCTGAACAGTACTGACTACTTTTTAGAAGATGTCTATGAAGATTCCCAGTCATCCAGATCATGATCATGGTTGAAGAGTTCTGTTTGGCAACTTTTCTGGAACAACTGACAAACTGGTACTGGTAAGATTCAAGAAGCCTCTTCGATGAGAGGTGAAATGTCTTCTTTTAAAAAATTCACATCCAGTTTCCTAACAGAACTCTTCAACCTTAACTTTAGAAGATATTTTTATCACTGTGTTGATTGTCATGCCACCACAAAGATTTAAAGAACGCCACGTCTTTACTGTTTTATCGCTGTTCTAGGTACTGAGAGCAACAGACTCAGTACTCACAGTACTATCAGCTACAGCAGCGGGACAGAGCCGGATATAGAGGTAAGTCTAAAGTGAAACCAATGATTTGTTTGTTTTTTTTTTAGCTTCACAGTTTACTGTAACCGAGCTTCTATCTTGCAGTCAAATTTTAGTAGCCTCTTTTTTTTCAGCGGTTGTTTTAAAACAGCACACTACAGTGTTTTACAGTAATAAAGCTGCACTGTGTATAAAAATAAAATATATAATAAGAAATATATAAATATATACATATAAACCCATAAATATAAACATTCGTATATAATATATGTCTGTATACACATAAATATTTATATATTCATATATATGCAAACACATTTATTTACTTATATGTATACATACAGCTAACAACAACTGACAAAATACACTACTGACTACATCACCATGCTTCAACACATGCCCATACAGATGTCCTACAGGGGCTGGTTATTATTTTAAAACAATTTTTGATTTTTTTTTTTTTCATGTTTTAAGGAAGAAAACAAAAAAAAATATTAACCTGTGTTTATATGTGTATTTTTGAGCTCTAACCTTTCTGTAACAGTAGGACAGAAAATCAACGGGTGACTTTCCCCCGTTTCATACCTCCACCAGTGGCAGTACTTTGTACTAATACCACTCAGTTCTCTCTGATATGAGAGCTCTCACTATTACTCTTACATCTATTCATATCACCAAGTCATCTGTGTTTGTGAAGTCCTGTGAAAAGCTGTGTGCAATGGTGGGATTGTGACTGTTACCAAAAGTCCAAGAACTATAGTGCAGGTGGTTGAATGTTTATATAATATGGGTATTAAAATATTATATCATCTGTCACTGTTAGTTTCTTATTTATGCCTATTCTTTCTGTTTTACTCATTGTGCTTTTTTTTTAAGGACACTCAAGAAAATCCTGCTCCGCCACAGCTACAACGTCGGCGGCGGACCGAAGTACCACCTGCCATGCCTCCACCCAGGATCCCTCCACGTGTCCCAGAAAGGTCAGTCCATCTGTCGAAATGTGAGCTGTTAGCATTAAAATTAGGGTTGTGAAAAAACAGTATCTTTTCCCTGCAGTGAATCTCACACAGAGTAGAAAGAGGAAATGGTACTGACTAGTGATTTGAGACTGTCAGTGCAGACAGGAAACCAAAGTTAAAAAAAATGCAAAGACCTTTTTTATTTTTTTGTAAGATAACATCAAAGTGATGTTTCAGCTGCTGACCTCTCTACCTCTCCTTCTCAGGGCGCCAGACATACTGGTGAATGAGCGCTACGTTTCCTATCCTACACGAGCACTGCCTCACGTTCCCTCTAACAGACAGTCACAAACAGCGCCTCCTTTACCTCGACGCCCGAGGTGATCGGCACAGCTTCACTGTTGAATAAATAAGAAGAAGAAACTGTCATTTCCATTCATGTCCCTGAATGTTTTCATGTCTATGAGTGGGTTAAAACTCATTGGTTGCATGGTTGCAGGCCGCTGTGTTAAGATTCCAACTGCTTTTGTCCACCTGGCACTGAAAGGTTTATACATTATAATGGGTTTAGTTAAGACCTCATCACACTGACCTCTGTCCTGCAGACAGGTTTCCTATTGGACATTCCTGGCTGTCAATCAAGGACTTCTTCATGTTTCGTATCAGGTACAGTTTGAGTAACATGTGGCTATACATGTACAACCTTTAGCTTAGCTTAATTTTTTTTTAAACATTTGAAGCCACTGTGGCCTAACCCGTAGCCATTGTTCTGTCATTTTGAAGTTTGGTCTTTTTTGGACCTATTTTTAAAAATATTTTGTGAAATTTTGAGCTTCGTATGTAGCGTGTATTCAGCTAAATTCCTGGTGTCCTGGAAAAGGTTTCAATTTAGCTTTAGTAGCTATCTCTGGCATAAATTGACCTTTTCCTGTGCTGAGAATTAGCCAGCTTTTACTGTTTGACCTTTAGCTGTTATTGGCTAATGACAACTTTTTGTTTATATGGTAAATTTTTCTTCTTTTTTTTTTTTTTTTTTGTTCATTAAGCTTTATTTCTTTTAATTCCTGGTTCTACGGCCCATTTCACTATCATTGAAATAAGTCATTATGGTGTGAAGAAGTGTGAGTTAGATAGACAGACAGGAGCCCAACTGTTGATTTTATTATGAACACATGTTTATAAAGAGTAACACACATGTTTCACTGGGCCATTAACTGCCTCACTGCTGCCTTCACTGACTTCCTGTTGTTTTCTTTGAACTTGGTGTGTTCATATTTACATGTATATTCATAGTGTAGAACCTATACTGCTGCAAGACAGGGTTTTTGTGTATCTTTCTATTTAATTCTTAGAACATGTGTGTAAGTTGTCTACCGTAAACCTCATCGTTGTGTATAAAATAGAAAGGACATTTGAGGCTGTTATGCATTTACATACTGTATACACTGTCTAATTATTCAAAATAAAACGTTAGTATAATTTAAAAAATAACAATTTTAATATATTTGATGTTTTGTGGTGGGTCTCTTACCAGGTTATATACAAGGGAAAGTCAGCCTCGACTTTCTTTGTATATGTGTTTCAATATATATATTTTTTTTTTGTGTAGCATTCGTAGTACTTATATTTTTGTGCAATAAAACCTTTCGTCGCTTGAGGGTGCTACATGTTCTTTTTTCGCATTTATTTATTATTAATATTTTGATATTTTAGAGTCTCTCTGAATTTTATCTTATTCTTGAAGTCACATTAGTCACATAAATAATGACTCCACTGTTAAATAAATTAAACCTCACACCATGTGTGTTTTGACTTGTATTTTACTGGAGTATTTTGGACAGAGTCTGCAAAGTTTAAGGCGGTGAGGTGTCTTTTTACTTCTGGTTAGAATTTTCAGAGTAAAATCATTACGGCTGACCTTTCATATATTTGTAATCGCTACATAAAAATATAGCAAAAATATAGGGTTCATTTCAAACGACAGCATTAGCTACACGCACCACAATTTAAAGCATTTTTAACATACATTTAATACGAGTTGTTTCATGGCAAAGTTGTTTTAGCCTCGTTTGTGAGAAAGAAGTAGATAAGAAATAAGTTAAAAAAAACGTAAAACGTGGTTTATAAAGGACAGGAAGCAAAGACACAAGGAAAGAAGGTAAAAAAACAGAACTACAAATCGAACTAATAATAATCTATGTAGTCATGTGACATTGATTTTTAACAGACTTTGATCCTTTGTAGTTTATCCATAGGACCATCCATTAAGTTTCAGTACATGGACATAATCTGTAAATCAAAATCAAGGTTGTGGAATGAGAAAACAACCCAAAGAAGAAGACAGAAAAAACAGTGTTAGAGTAAACAGTGTTAGAGTAAACAGTGTTAGAGTAAACAGTGTTAGAGTACCCCAGGTCAGGTTGACGGGTTTGTTTGTTTTATACGCTGTGTTTGCCAAACCACTCAGTTGTAAGTAGCATTGTTTCAGTCAAACAGTCAATAGAATAGCAGTAACACGTGACGACAGCTGAACTCAAAATGTAATTCAATCCGCCGTTTGTGCGTTTATTGTGAAGGACCTGCAGTTCCGGCCCCGGTGCTCGGAGTTTGCGTGTTCTTGACGCAGCAGATGCAGGTTGGCAGGTTGTGAAGTCGCTGACAGTCGGTAAAGGAGAGAGGCTCCGTGTGCGCACAGAAGTATCCGCAGCGGCAGCGGTGAGGAGACTAGCACACTGGATTACCATCACACACAGGTAACAGGCAGCTGCGGCTCTGCTTTACTCCTCTTACTGTTGACTGTTGACTGTTGACTTACTTCATTTATGTCAGCCATCATGTTCACCCCTCATCATTACAGGGCACAGCAGCAGCAGTTGACTTTGGATCATTGAAATGACAACAAAAATAACAGAGAGAGAGAGGGGACACAGAGAGAGGCTGAATCCGCCTCACATTTGTCCCACTGTCAGGTTATTGCCAGTTCAGCAGAATCAGAGCTATTAAAAAGTTCAGCCTGTGACTGAATGCACCTGGCTCTCCAGCAGATGGACAGAAGCAGTGGCTGCTGTGGGACAGTTCACTGCAGCAGAGGCTGATCCACTCACAGTGGGGATGCAGCCCCCCCTCTATACTGTACTGTACATGCTGCACTCTGAGGATGAAAACCAAAACCACAAAAAATGCCCAAGTCAGGGTTTATAAACGTTTAGGTTTCATTATTTTAAAAGCCCATTTCTTTGTCTCTGTCCGTCCTCCTCCAGTGCTGCTGGTGTTTCTTTGAGTAGCCCAGCAGCAGTGAAGGGTTTTACTCTAGTGTCATTGTCATTCAGAGGCTCCTGCCCCTCACGCACGCACTCAGGCTGTGGCATCAGGAACACTGTACTTAATGGAATGCACATTATGCGGCACAGAGGTGCTGAGTATAGTCTAATTATATTGTCATTTTTATCACAGGGCTGTCAGGTCACACTGCAGCCTCCTGTGTCATATTTGATGAGGTTATTTAAAAGGTGAAATGATGATGTCGATGTACTTTTCAGGGCCCGACACTTGCAGGAAGAATGGATGCATACTGTTGAGATGAAAATATTCTTTATTTTTCCACCTACTCTGGGGTCAGTACTTTGAGCAGCTGTGTTGTGTAACTGCAGCAGCAGTGGACATGAATGTTAAACTCAGCGTTGCAGCCTGAATAGAAACAAACAGGTCTGGCTGAAGCCAAATAATGAAGAGCATGTGACACAGACAACTGCCCTATAGTGGAGCAGGATGAAGAGAGCATGTGACACAGACAACTGCCCTACAGTGGAGCAGGATGAAGAGTTGGTTTTTTTGTTTGTTTGTTTGTTTGTTTTTGTCCCTGTCAAATTGACTCTCAATGGTTTTTGGGGCACAGTTTCAGTGCAGGTTTATTTAATGTTGTCTATTTGTCTCATGAGGTTGTAGATATATCACTGATTGTGAAAGCTTGTTTACGTAGGGTTGCCAGTTAGAAACCTAGTCTTGGCAGGGCTGTGGTGTTTTGAGCAAGTGTTGCTGCCCAGTTATATTGGATTTATTGTGACAGTAAGAGTAAATAATCTCAATAATCTGCAAACACTGCTGGCATTTGGAAAATGTTAATTCTTGTGAACATTTAAGTCTAAGCTTTAGGTGTTTTTAAGCAAACATAGATAAACGTCGGCTACTTTGGTTATAGAGACAAAATACGGTTAATTTCACATGAATCTTTTACTTTTTTTGGCTAACATTTGGTGTCATTGGCGACCAAACCAAGGTATTTGTTTTAGTTTATTTTTAGTTTTCAACTATTTATGAAAAAAACCACATGTACTAAATTATTCTACAGTATGTTCTGTACTTTGACTCATTTGACATGGAAATCTCTCTCTGAAGTGAGTGTAGGTATGTATGGGAGCCTGTGTTTACTGTCAGACTCCAGAGATATTTCACTTTTTTATTTTACTCTAAAAATGCTACCATTTGACTTTCTAAGGTGATCGGTTGATTATTTCGCGTTACGATGTTTTGAAGGTTTCCACCTGCGACGACCATACAGTGTGATTGATTTTATTGCTAATTGCAAAAGTGGAATATTTGAGAAGCAAATAAGCAGAAGGCGGAATAAATATAAATATGTGGTTTTGAAGTTGTATAGTTTGAAATTCAGTAGCTCCTTCAGCAGTGAGTTGTTTCTCTTCCTCTCAAATATTGTGCATTTGTCTACATGTGTATTTCATTCAGAATTTTTACTACAAAGGACACCTTTTCCTTTTTTCTCTCCTCTCTGTAACGTTCTCTGTGTAACAGAACACAGCATGGACCTGATCAAATATTAACCCCAACACAAATAATTAATCAAAGAGCTCCAAGGACGGAGTGGAAGCGTTCAGACTGATTTCCTCAAAGCTGCCGGTTTCACTGTTCAGGAGCACACACGTCATGTTTCAGAATTTCAGGCTTGTGTCACATCTTTGTACTGGACGCAGCTGTTTGAGATACAGTATCTGGACAGTGTTTGTTCAGAGGGAACACAGGACGTCCATTAGTTCATGTCAAAGGACTTTATGTTTGTTTAACAAAGCCACGGGGAGCTGCTATTAATTTTGTTTGTAATTACACAGCTTTTGCGGTTTTACTGAAACTCCTCGGACCTCTCTGGAGCTGCAGCATGTGCAGTACTAGTTTTTCAGGCTCACATGATTATTGACTTAGCTGTAGTCAAGCGTCAACGAGAGCAGCCTCCTGTTTTACTGCTCGTGAGTGAAGGAGTTGACAGTGTTTACACAGAGACAGAGTCAGCTCTGTGTGCCTAAATGGAACCCATAGTTTAAAAACAATGAGCTCTTACACATGGGGAACATCTAGCCTGGTTTATTATGACCTATCTAAAGCAACATGTTCAAACAATGTAGTTTGAGAGCACCTTTTCTGGAGCAGGACGAGTGTGGGTTTCATCCAAGAGTCTTCTCTTGTCAAATAAAAAAAAAAAATCAAATTAAAAACTCCATGTTTTGCAACACGTTTCTAATATCTCCAGGTCTAGTTGAATGTCCTCACTAAACAGCCCAAAATGTTCAATAATTATATATATAAATATATATATATATATATATATTTATACATATATATATAATTTTAAAAAATGCAACAAGTAGGACAAGAAGAATGTTGTCCACTTTATAGCACACCTAGAACCTAGATCCTTAAGTTCCAGGTACACTTTAAGGCCTTTTCTTTAGGGCACGTACTATTGTCCAATTAAAATACTTTTCAGGTATTACCATTAGGGAAGTGCTCTTAGTGCCTACTACTGTCCATTGTCCCTTACAGTAGTTTCTGTGCAGTAGTTAACATGCCTTAAATGTCCTGAAGTGACTTTTACAACACTGTGCCGTCCCACTCTTCAGCTTCTGGTTAAAAAAGCTTCAGAACACCTGGTTGTCTTAAGGTCAACTGGTAACCTGCAGAGGAATAATGAAGCTGCAGGTTTGGACTCAGAGCAGAGCTGTTAATATTTTATGGGCCTTGTTCAGAGCCACATTACTCTGATAACCCCCTCCCTGACCCCCCTCACCATCCCCAGATTTGAGCAGAGTGACCTTCAGGGACATAAATCTCTCAGATGAACTTTAAAGATTTGCCAAAAGCAGCAGGTCTCCAGAGAACAGCACTGTTTGGCCAAAATGATCTCCATCTAATTAAGAAATACGACACTTAGAAACTTCTCACATAAACATTGTGACAGCATTTAAAAAATATTTTTAGCATCATATACCAGTGATTGTTTGTATGTTATAAACTCTAAATGGATCCATTAATGAACTCTCTTTTCAGTTTACAAAACTGACTAAATGTTACCAGCATGAACATTGACTTAAATGTTAAATATTCACTTTTTAAAGCACTGTTTAGCCTGAAGGTCTAAAACAGGTCTCCCCCAGTCCAAGATGTTTTTGTACGAGTGAACTGCAGTGAATGTTTAAAAAAGACTTCTTTAGACAACACCCACAGGAAGGTTCAGAGGGGTTGGTACGGTGCAGTGTGATTTGGGTGGCGGTCATGGAGACTGCTGCCCCCGCGACCCGGTAACGGATAAGCGGATGAAAATGGATGGATGGAACATTTAGCACAACGTTTTATTTTAAAGTCAGGGTATACAGGAT